TAGCTAGCTGGAACATTACTATTTAAATGAACATATAACTTAAAGATCAAATTCTGTCTTCAACAGATTTACATAAAAGGACAGAAAGGATAACATTTGTCTACCAGCATGTTATGTGGATCTCCTTAACTCAATTTACTATGGATTTTATGGCGCAAAAAAATTAATGCCCTCCAGAAGCTGAACTCATTACTAATTATTTCTTCTAAACCCGCAGCAAAATCCCATGCTGCTGTGACCGATGGAAGTTCTGCTGTTCACTTAAATGGAAGTTGGATCAGTTCCTTCGTTTGCTACTCTAGCAAGTGATACTGAGCAAAATGATACCCTAGATGCTGTCTCGTCTTCTTTCTTATAAAGAAAAGATGCTATGAATCAGTCTTGTATATTTCATTCCCTACTAAAACTGAGAGCAACCTATTGATGATAATTTTAGCTACACATACAGCTGCCAACAGACTTGCACACCTTTTTCAACACAATTTTCCAGAATAACCCAGAGGAGACAGTCCTCCACTTCAGCAACAATAATGGAAAACAGCCCTTAGAGTCACTCATGGACCCTACTCAGCTATCCATAGCCTTCTCTACTCCATAACCCACAGAAGCATCCCTGCAAGTCATTTGGCATGTGTATATCACAGCAAACTCACAGCACAGGTACAATTAGCCTCCCAACAGATATCTCATCCAAAAAACTCCTGGAAAAAGAAAACAAGCTTTACACATATTCTGGTAGCTAACATAAAGCTGACCACAGGTCACAGGTTCTACAATTCTAGCTTTCAAAACAAAATCTGCTTTCAAAGCAATTAACTGAAGCCCTGAGCTTTAATTCCTCTCAAAAGCATGAAATCTGACATCACCTTTGACAAGGCTCGGACAAGTGTAATAGTGCACAGTGAATAATACAACAAGCCATTTTTACATGCAGATGTTCAATAACATACAAAGGAAACCCCTAAACCACACATACTGCATTACAATGGCATTCAGTTTAAGAGGTTATGCCTCTGTTGCTGGTATGCAAGACAGATGAGCAACGCCTGTTTCACACTTCATACAGAAAGACTCAAGAAATTCCATTTGAGAGATTTGTAACTAACACCCACAAACACTGCAAAAAGTTATACTCTGATTCACTGATACTATGAAAACAAAAAACAATCCAAGCAATATTTCATGTTGTGGTGGACTGATCCTGACTGGATGCCAGGTGCCCAATGCTGCTCTATCAACTCCCCTCCTCAACTGTACAGGGGAAAAAATATAACAAAAGGTGCAAGGTTCTTCATGAACTGCTCCACTGTGGGTCCCTGCCATGGGTGCAGTCCTTCAGGAAGAGACTGCTCCAGTGTGGGTCCCTGTGGGGTCACAAGCCCTGCCAGCAAACCTGCTCCAGAGTGGGCTCCTCTCTCCACAGGGCCACAGGTCCTGATAGGAGCCGACTCCAGCATGGGCTTTCCACAGGGTCACAGCCTCCTTTGGTCATTCACCTGCTCTGATGTGGGGTCCTCCATGGGCTGCAGGCAGATATCTGCTCTAGCATGGATCACCATGGGCTGCAAGGGGACACACTCTGGTCTTCACCACAGGCTGTGGGGGAATTTCTGCTCTGATGCATCTTCTTTCCTTCCTTCTTCACTGACCTTGGTGTCTGCAGAGTTGGCTCTCTCACATAAGTCTCACTCCTCTCTCCAGCTGTAGGTTGTTGTGCATTAGTTTTATTTTCCCTTTCTTAAATACATTACCACTGAGGCACTACTATTTTTGTTGATGGGGTCAGCCTTGGCCAGCAGAGGGTCTGTCATGGAGCTGACACTGATTCTATCAGATAAAGGGGATGCTTCTATCAGGTTCTCACAGAAGCCACCCCAGCAGCCTTCCAGCTACTAAAACTTTGCCACACAAACCCAATACACAAAACTAATTTCAAATTCTTTAATATAACAAAAGCCACCACTCTGTAGAAACTGCCAGTTTGCATTTTAACCTGTCCTTAAAAGAGGAAAGGCCACATCAAGAACCACCATAGAAAACAGAAGCCTGCTGTTACTGTTACAGTTTCTGCATCATGAGGCTAGCAGGGAGCAGGCTGACCATCCTACTATCACTTAAAAAAACCTAATGGCTCAAAGCAGCAGAATTCATCTTAACAAATTAGTATACACAGCAGTTCTTTCCATAGCTGTATTTGTTCTGCAAATAAAGCTTTGATACTGTTTCTATTACCCCCTCAAAACCATTTTCCTTTAAAAGGAAAAGGCAATAGCCAGCAATTGTACTTTCAGGAATATCTGCAAGTTGCAACATTACCCTGTAGTTAAATCTGTTAACAGACTTCAGCCCAGAAGGTTTGGTTGGTTGTTTTAAAAGTTTTGTTGTTTTTTAAGTTTCAAAACAAAGATTAGGTAGCAAAAAAATCCCCTAGGATATGCCTCAGGTTCTCATGACTGATTTTACACTGTGATGAATAGGCAGGACTCTCTCCCCCTTCACCCTCAGCTCAGGTGTAACTTCTTGCTTTCAATTCTAGTGAATAATTTAATGACTCCTTCCACACAGAATTACCAAACCCATATTTTCTCTCCTCCCCCAAATCCCTCCTGCAAGCTCTGAAAACTTCCTTATGTTTTTATTAACCTAGGCACCCTCAAAAACTAAAACCACCACAAACCACAAAAAAATCTAGATGTGGGCATGAGGCATCAGCACTGTACTCCTATTTCTGCCAGTTATACAATGCACTTGGGTATGTCTTACTGCAAGAGAAACAGGAAGCCTGACAATTACAAACTGTAATAGCAATCAGGCTCTAAAGAACTTGCTGTATCACTATATGAAAACTTGTAATAGCTCCAAAAAAGGGTATATACAAATGTCAACAATAAGGTATCATTTACTAAATCTAAGACAGTATATAATCTTCCTGACTACAAGATCTACTAGTTTGACCTGAGAGTCACCAGTTGGAGTATTTAGAAGGAAAATACACAAAACCTCTAAGACCAGTGAAGAAATGCCCAGGAGGGAAAACCAGATATTCTGCTACCATATGTCCTCTCAACAGGCAGATATACCAAGTCCTAAGAGTGCTATAATCTCCCTCATAATGGTGTCACTCCCACCAGTGATCAGATGCAGCAGTGACTGCATAGTTTCAAACTCCTCCTCCTTCCCCAACACTTGCACCAGCAGCTGTCCCTACATTCTCAAACCCTGTACATAATTTTACCTTCCAGTCGCTCCGTTCACTTTCCTTACTGCAACCAGAACTGGAGTAACTTCTCCTTAGCTGGAGCGGCAAGACAATCTCATCACTTTTAAGAGCCTGAAATCAGCGCTGATCCCTGAATCGCTAATGGGCAGAAGAGCTTGTAGCCATCATGCTGATGGTGCCTCACTACTGTAGGCAGCTCAGTCTCACACACCTCATACATCTGAAAGACCTTGTCATGAACGACTACAGTTTGCCTACTTAAAAATAAAACCAGAGCTACCACATAACACAGAATGTTTAACTGTTATGACTTAGTTTTAACTCGTTATCCCCACAAGATATTTAAGTTAGTGCCATCATATATTTAAATAAGTAAATAATCCAAACAGGTGGTTTCATGTTGAACCTAAGTTGTATATTCCCAGAGCAAAACTGGCCAAGAACAGATGCTCAAGGGCAGGCACAAGAACAAGCTGAGGACATCACTGCATTTCTCTAGGACCTGCAAGTGCCACAACCCCCAGAATTTGCAGCTCTTGAGATCTGCTGAGAAGAAGCACATTGCTGTGGTTAACTCATTTTTCTCCCATGACTAAAGCACTGCAATTTGAGGCTGCTCTAAAAGTAGTTAGAACTCACTGAACTATTAAAAAAGACACTATACCACTGCAGGCCACTTTGAATTCCCAAACTCAGGGTGAGCCAACTCCAACACTACCCAACTCCAACCACCTCAAGCCCCTGAAATAGTAGACCCCCTAGTAGACCCAATTGTAGCTGTTCCACCGGCAGACGCTGGAAGTGTGCTGCCTCAGATAAAACAGGCCTCTGGGTACATACACTGAATGTTTTCCCTTCCAACTGTTCGCACTGAGAAGCCATAGCCTTTTTTCCTAAATTAAAAAAGACCTCCACACATTACGAAAGCAGACTAATATGAAACTTAGTAACTTGGAACTGAGATACACAACTCACTGGGAATTCCTAAAGAGCTTTTTTTAAAAAATCATAAATGTCTAAAAAAGCACAGACTGCAAACTTTATTTTGGCAAGATTTTTGTATGTTTTCTTTAAATGTATTACTACTATTCCGAGTACCCTACAGAGCTTGTTCTCACCTGACACTAAAGACCCAGCACTCACGTCCTGAGTTCTGCTCGGGCCAGGTTTCACCTCAGGTTCTCCAGGCAACCTTCCCAGCGCTGTCCCCGCTCCGAGGAGGCGGCAGACGGTCCGCCCCTGCCCTCCCCGCTGACCTGACAGACCCTGATACTCCAAAACGCGCATCCCCGCCTGGAAAACGTGCTTCCCCTCCTCTCCCACTGCACAGAGGCTCGTAGGCCGGGCAAGTTGGGGTTGCCCGGCGGCCGCAGGGCACGGGGTTATAGCAGTAACGCAACCAAGGGGCTGGCAGCCCCTACGTGGAGCCACAGCCCGGCGGCGGCGGCCCGGCCCAGGCGGCGACGACCGGTCAGGGCCTCTTGCCCGCGGGGAGACGGTGAGGGCACAGCGATCCCTGCGAGCGCCGCCGCCAAACCGCGCCGCAAGGGACGGGGCAAACTCAAACTCGAGCGCCGCGGAGCAGCCGCGGCCACCGCGGGAAGGCCCCGCCACCCCGTTACCTGCGCGCTCCTCCCCCGCTACCGGCGCGCGGGCAGCCCTGCGCCACCGCCTCCACAACAAAGCCCAAGAGCGGGCGGGCCCTGCGGCCGCGGCGCGACGGGGGGCGGCAGGCTCTGCTCATGGGTGGCGCGGACGGTAGGCGTGGCACAGCGCCGCCCGGCGGGCGGGAGAGGCTGCGAGAGGCGAACCGCGGCGGTGAGGGCGGCACCGGGTAACGGGGAGTGCGGGAGCTCGCGGCTGGTTCGCGGCCGCCCTTCCTCCGCACGGGGATGAGGCGTTTCCTTTTTCGGGGGCTAGCACTGGAGCGCTGCCCGGGCTGGCACGGAACGGCATTCCCCCCGCGGGGATACAGTAATCTCGAAGGGAGACACAAATCCTGCCAGGGCGGTTAAGGAGGCATATGTCGTGGCGCACATGCAGTGGTTTGGGAAGAGGCCATATGGAAATGGTACTAAGCCTAGAAGTGCTTTAGGAAACCTGCACACCGGGAAGAGTGACCTTCGCGGGGCAGCAGAGAGAGGGTAACGGAAGTATGCCACATAAAAAGAGAGACTTCCAGCAGGAGAATTACTTGTGTTGAGGTGAATAGATTCAGGGTTTCAATATTGTGAGACAACAGTCTCCTAACAATAGCAGAGTTTACTTTTTTCAGGAGCAGGTGTTCTGCTATTGTGTTAACACAATTCTATGTAAATTCTATGCGCTCTGAACAAGTTTTTCTTTTTTTTTTTTTTTTACATCCCTTTTGTTGCAAAGACACCTTCTCCAGGAAACAGATCTGACCAACCAGTTTCTGCACCTTCTGATCAATTCCAAATTCTCTTTACTGTTGAACTACTGCAGCAAGCACACTTCAACATCAGATGCATGGAGAGACCTGCATCTCTGGAACAAAAAAGTAGTGATGTTCCAGCATCTGCTTTTTGATGATACAGAACACTGGAGACTTGATGATCCTGCTGTATTTATTGAGCAGCAGTCTAAAAGAGCCAAACCAGGGGAGCTAAGGCAAATGTTAATGAAACACTGAAGTTGAGATTTTAATTAATTAAAGGTCAGCACATTTAAAATTTATTCATTTAAGGGAGTTACCCTGTATTCCCACAGGAATCCCCACTCTGTTCTTGCACAGATCAAAGAATTCAAGTTACTGTTTATTTGCTGATGCATGCAAATTACATAACTGAATCTTATACCTTTTTGCAACTGGGTCTTGGTCTTTTAACACTTTATCAACACTTCTCTGTATATTTCCTATGTTCTCATACATTTCTGCTGAAGCAGAAATAAAGGTGGTTTTCTCTAATCTTTGTTCTAAGTTACTAAAAGGTACATTTCCTTTCAAGATTGGAACCTTTATTCAGTTAGCAACATTTGTTGCTAAACTGTCACAAAATACTTGCAGACACTCCGTAAACCAACATACCAGAACAGTATTACAACTTAGAATCATAGAATAGTTAGGGTTGGAAAGGACCTTAAGATCATCAAGTTCCAACCCCCCCTGACATGGGCAGGGACACCAAACTTCATGAAAATAATTTCCCAAAGATACTTCTACAAAGTTTTGGCTTCCAAATACTACTGTGCCTGCAATCTGCTCTCAAAACAAGAAAACATGTTTTGGAAAGGTCTGAGAAGTGATTCCCAGACAAGTCTGTGAGGGGGATGAAAACACTGCAGTTTTAGAACCTTGCACAGAAACCCCACTTGTAGCCTGTTGAAGGATCTTTCCTGCTCAAAATGTTCCTCATGTGAAAAGCATTGGGATTTTGCTGGTAGAAAAAAAAAGTTCTTTCCTAGTGAATAAGGAGGATGGTTAAATGAGTTGAATCTTCTTGTTTCTGATAGGTTTTCACGATTTTGCTTAATGTATTTCCAGATTCTTTCCCTCAGTTGAACAATAACCTTTGTATTTCCATATATCCAATCCAGGGAGCTGTGATCTGAGAACTCTGTCTTTCACAATACTATCAAACAAACTGCACTGCTTTCTGCCTCTGTTAAATAAATAATGGCATTTTAATCCCAATCTAAAATATATTTCCCCTTTTATTTACATGTATTTTCTCATTTAATTTCTCATACTAATTAATCTCTTTGGTTATGGAAACTCCACCCACCAGAATGCTGGAACACTTATTTTTTTCCTGTCTATCAACTTTAGGCATGTCCATTTTCACTTTTATACTAAATATGTGCCTTTCTTCCCAGTGGACTTCTTCCTCAACTCTTTTCCTTGAGGAAAACATGGTATTATTAAAAACAAAATTCATATTTCTCTTGTACTTTAAAGGTACCTTTTCATAACTGGAGGGCAAGGAAAACCAGCACATATTCTCTTTGACTCTGCTAGGCTACATATATTCCTGGACACAGACTCATGAAATCCCGATTTTAGCACAATGCCTCTGGTATGCCTAGGATTCACCATGCCTAAGATTTTATCTTAAAGTCACTACCACAAAGGTTTTAAATGAGCATCTATTTTACTAAACTAAAATGTATCCAGACAGCAGACTGCAGTTAAATACCTATCTCAGACATGGAAAACGGAGCATAAATGCACTGTTCAGACATATGAAACATCTAACAATATGCTTCTTAAGGAATAGAGAAAGAACTAGGTACCAATATTTGCCTTTGGTAGCTGTGCTGCAGGATGCATAAATGCACCTAGTTACAATTTATGCTTTGTATTTAGCATAAACTCATGCCCTTGTAAGGTAACAACAGTCTGTCTCTTCTTTTAGCAGAAAGAAGTTGAAAAATAAGGATGTAAAAACTACTTTTCTTTTCCTGCTCATTTGAAGAGGTGCCAGTAAATCTAGCTCCCTATTTTCACTTCAAGATGCTCAAGATCACACACGGAATTCAGAATTGCTTTGAAGATACTGTGAAGGATTTCTGATTCAAAACGAATATCCTTGTCTGTGTGAACACTGTAGGGCTATTGACAAGAAAGAAAAAAAAATTAATCCCAAATTATCCATGTGACTGGTTAAACAGACAGCGTAGCATCTTATTCAAGAGGCATTTCCTTAAATCCATCTTCTTAACTCTAATAAACATTCCCTTGAAATCAACCATAGCTTTGTTTTCTCCCTCAAAACAATGTAATTGAGCTTGTACCCCTGATGGCTAGCAAAGAAGCAAAGGTTGAGCTCAAAGTGGACAAGCCTTCCTTTGAGGCAAGAAAAGTCAGCAGCGCCAGAGGCTGTGGGCTACATGCAAAAGGAGGAAACAGAGCAGAATACAAGAAACCACAGTGCTATTCAAAGTTAGGGGCAAGAGAAGAAGTGGAGATAAAGTCTTTACAGCAAACCCAGGAGTTTGACTAGTACAAGGTGAGTGATAGAGCAGGGAAAATAAAAGACCACATACAATACTGCATCTGTTTCCAACTTTTGCAGGTTCCAAAACCACATAAACATTTAGGTATTCAGTTGTTGATTAAGTGCTTAAGCTGTATTTTATTAACCTGAGTGCCATTTTGAATCTGGCTGTAAGTCAGAAAGACCCTCTGTACTAGTAAACACAAAGGATCTGTGCCCATTCTCTGGCTCTGACAATAAATGTCCTTGTGTGTTCTGCATTCACATGGCTTGAACTGTCTTCCCCTCCAATGTTGCTGCCTCTCGGAATGTGCCCATGCTGTCCCCAGCTAAACCCTGGCATCTTGTGGAAAAGTATGGTGTGGCCTTGGTGGAAGCAATGCTGGAGACTGTCAGCAATGACACTGACTGTGCCAGCACTCAAGCCCATTCCCTGGCGCTGCTGTTTCGTTTACTAAAATGGGTCAACAGATCTGCGTAACACATGCAACAGCCACTCTCCAAAGGACAAAATAACCTATGTCCTTTGAACACCAAAGAGTTGGAACCAACGCCTGAAGGTTTTAAAAGAACAGAAAGAGAGCCGCTGAGTCAAGTGGTACCGCCGACCCTTCCCAGAAAAGGAGCACCAGGGGAGCTGGAGGTGTTAGCTGGGTCCCAGAAGCAGTGGGGAGTAGGACTTCAAGTGTGCTCTGTATGGCACCAACCCCAAAGCGAGAAGTACACGGCACAAACCTGAGGTGACAGGCCTTCCCCCATCAGCTCACCGAGGGGCCGTCAGAGCCTGCCTCCCTCCCCAGCTCTGCCCGAGAGAGGCAAGCTACCGGTTTCCCGGCTAGAAGGGATCCCAGAGCCCTATCCCCACCGTCATCGCCAGCAAGCTGCGAGCCCGGGGCCGCCCTGTGACGGCCGGCGGCTAAAGGCCGCTGCGCGACCGTACGTGGGGGCCCGGCCCGCTTTCCCGCCCCGCCCGGCATTGCCGAGGCCCCCCCTTCCCCCGCAGATAACCGCGGCTCCCGCCTCCCCCCCTGCTCTTCTCCCACCCGCCCAGCACGGAGCCGGCCCCAGCTCCGCAGCCGCTCTCCAGGCGCTGGTTGCCTCTCGCTGCGGCATCAGCGAGCGAGCGGGGATGGCTTGGAAACCCGGGAGCTTTCTGCAGGAGGCCTCTCACCAAGTCGTCGCCGGAGGCTCGGCGGGTAAGTGGTGCGTTCCTCCTGGGCGGGGAGGGTCTGCCCGTCCCCCGCCGGCGCTCCGCCAAGCTGAGGTGAAGAGGACCCCGCCGCCGCCCGCCCCCCCACGCTCTCCTCAGGCGCAGGAGCTGTGGCGTGGAACGGCCTGGTTCAGTGGCAGCTCCTCCCCCAGCGAGAGGCGCAGGCGGGCGGACCCCTGATGTGGCCCGGGGGTCCTGGGGGCGGGTGCGACGCGGCTGTAGCTGGTGTGATGGTGCTCGGCCCCTCGCGGGCGTGAGGGAACCCTTCCCGGGCCTGCGGTGTATCTCCGTTAAACACACCGTACAGCCCCGCGGATGATAAGGGGGGCAGGGGGCCCCCCTCCAACGGTAACAGCCAGTGGTGTCCCCTTCGGTGGGTGCCAGTTTCCTTACTCGGAGCGGGCTCGTAGCTGCCGCAGCCGCCCCTGGCGCCTTCCCCGTTTCGGACGCGTCCTTTCTAGGCTCCTCGCTACTGTGTCGTGGAGGAACCCACGCAGGGCTACAGTGGAAATGCGTTTCTGTGTTTTAAAACTTTAAAGAATGTCGAGGTTACTGATTCATCACGTTATTTGTACTTCGAACTATAGTTGTCAAAACGGTATGCATCTGTTTAGCAATGAAAGTATTACTAGTTAATTTTTTGTTTGTTTCTTCTATATGAAACATTTAAGTTAGCTTGCGGTGCAGGCAACATTTACAAAATATCCTGCGCTTCCAGGGTATATATGTAAATCCTGTGAGCATTTCAACTATGCAATGTGTTCTTAAGTGTTCTTTAGTATCTTTTGGGGTCCAAATGCTGTTTGCCGTGTTTTACATGAGAGGAAAGCAGCACAGTGATGTTGCTGTGTCTTACGTAATGCTTCAATGTAATGCGTGCAAGCAAAATTCTCCTGTGTCCTGCATGGCTGTGATGCTGCGTGTGAGCTGGTGTTCTGTTCCCTCTAATTCCCCCGCTGCTAATTCCACTTTTATGCATTCCTGCCACCAACATATATTTGAGCGCTTCCCTTTCATGCTCATGACTGCATGTCCTTTGTTTTCAGCACTCTGTTTTGATACAGAGAGATTTCACAGCAGAAGCAGAGATGTGTTGTCCTGTCCCTTCCAGTGTATTGTATGACTATGTTTAGCTCCTGCAGCTGTGGAAATTCTAAAGCTTTTTTAGATTCTGCTTGGTACCAGCCCCTCCTTCCCTTAGGAGAGAAAGGGAGGCTTTAATCTGTACTAGCCCATTGAAGGCCTTTCATACATGAAGGGATAATGATTTGTTTTGCTGCCAGATGTTTTGCAAGACGACATATTTATCTGCCCATAGCAGTGGGCCTGTGCCTTGATGATTCAGATTGATCTAACTTAGTATCTTTCCATTCTCTAGCAGTAGACTGTTTACAGGCTTTGTTCTTAGAAGGACAGACAGTTTGGATAACACACTAGAAAGAAAACTGTCATTTAGATAAAGGGCAAAGTTTTACAGAAGGGCTAGAATTGAGAAAAGTGTGTTTGGTGGTGTAGGGAAAAGACAGCATGAAAGCTATTTGATGATCTGATAGGCATAGATGTTAAGGTGAAAGAATTTTCAGTTTAAGAAGACAACTGATCTGCACCTAACACCTTTTTTAAGGTATAATGTGAGATGCCTGTTGATTCTAGTGCAGAGGCATACTGTTAGAAGATGCTTGCATCCTTTTGCTTAGTCTTGTTTCAGGCAGGTTCCTCAGCTCCATCACTAACTAACCTTAAATCTGTACTGAAATTGTTACTTATTGGTTTTGAAATAAATCAGGGAGAATTGTTCTTTAAGTCTGAACAACACTAACATTGTACTAGATGGATTAGTGAATGTGTGAGTTAAAGTGGGATTAGAGGGAAATGGCTCAAGCTTGAAAACTTGCTTCTCAGATGCTTAAACCTCAGTGGTGGTTTTCTTGGTGGTTTGTTGAGAAGACAGAAGAGGAAATCTGTAGCTTTGAGGTCTACAGTCTAAAGGTTAAATTTCTCAGGCAAGTGTGGATCCAACATCAAAAAGGTGGAAGCAGGAAGGAAAGGATGGAGAAACGAGTTGTTGAGGGTGTACTTGAGTGTTGTATTTCATCCTAGTGTGGGCTTTGATTGACAGACTTAGTTTCCCAGTATCACTTTAGACAACCTGTATTGCTTTTGGCTGCCTCTGCAGAAGGACATAGGGCTTTTATAGGTGCTTTGTTATATTTACTGGCTTCATGTGAATGTCCCAGCTATCCTCGAGTGGCTTTGCTGCCTGTACCAGAGCCTAGTATTTAGAAGATTAAAAAAAAAATAAATAAAATTCTGGTGAACTGATGTTTAGATTTTTAAAAAGTTCTGATCATCTTAACTCATACAGTTAAGCACAAGGAATGTATGAAGGTGTTTGTAGGAAAGATGCAGTAAGTTGGTTTCTTTGACAAAATGATAGGAAAGTAGCAAGGTAGTAGAAGAATGAGCTGCACAGCAGAATATGTGTTATTAAAAGGTAAGAAATGTTGTATGTGTAGCTAAAATGAGAGGTTATTTAGCATCAGCATGTCTGATGCAAAAGGATCTGATAAGAAGCGATTCTGCTAGGTCAAGTGGAAAATGATTAGAGATAAGCCAGAGCTGTCAGAACAGGAAGAAAGGGATTTTTTTTAAGGTTTACAGAAGATGACAGGACTTGTTCATAGACTTAATAAAGACAGGGGAAGGGGAAAGAAAGAAATCAAACATGACCTCTAGTCTACAGGACCGATAAAATGGGGGATACTGGCATGCTGAAGGAAAGAGAAATGAAAGTATTCAGTGTTGTAAAGGAAAAGATTTAAACATACCATTTCTAAGGGAAAGAAAAACTTGAATGGCTCTCTGCTATAATTGAACGGTAAATCTCAAGCATGACAGGACCTTGTGCATACTTCATGTCTGCGGGAAGAGGTCCATCTGCTTCCATGCGTCTCATAATTTGACTTCATATTGAAAGCTCTGCTTCCTGAGCATATACTCAATCTTAAATCTCATCAAAGTCTTACTTGGTCTTGGCTTACGTTCTTTCTGCTGGCATTCAGTTTGTTCTCATTTTTCAGATTCCTGAATGGAGGTTAATAGCATGATTGAGAATATTTGGTTTTGTTTGCTTGCCTGGGTGCACAACAATACTGAAGAACAAGACTGAAATGCAATTGGGGCACTTCGTTAGTAAGTTTCATCCCTTCTAGTACAGTGAATTGCAGGCATGCTCCTTTTCCCTAGTGGTTAATTAGTAAACCAAGGCATGTGTGGAATTTATAGGAGAAAGAAAACAGAAAATAAAATCTAAACTAAGAATCACTGTGGAAAGAACAACTTGAGAATCTTTAATTGATTTCCTTCGAGTTACAGCAATTCTTTAAAAAAGGGTAGTTGAGAAGTTCAGTCAATGCAGGGTTCAAGTTACAGGAAGAATTGTTTCACTAATTCCCAAGGATTTAAAAAATCCTTGTTTTTTCTGCCTATGTGGAAAAGACAGGAATTGTTGCATCCAAAGGCAATGGACACTTCTGTCCTC